CGCGAAGTGAACAACAGAACATATGGGATTAATTCCAATAGAAACTGGCCCGACCCCCAAACTCCACTTTTTGACGACACACAACTATGTTGTAGTAAAATTTTATCTTAACTTTATGATGGTATGAAAAAACAAGTAATATAGAAGAGGTTAGGTTAGGAAAAATAAAGGTTAAGTTAGGAAAAATAAAGGTTAGGTTAGAAAACTAAAAGTTATGTTGAACACTTAAGTTAGTAGAAGAGATGGGTCGGCGTACGGGGATGGAGGCTGGTTCCGAGGCAGAGGGCAGGCTACTGGCCCTCAGGTGAGTTACCATCACTGTCACCCACACTTGTTATGGCCTCCCTGACAAATCCCTCAAAGTCATCTTCACTGTCTCTACCTCTGTCACTATCACTGGCTTGGGCTGGCTGTGATGGGTTGCGGGCGAAGAACTCGGTTATGCTTTTTTGACGGCTGGTGTTTATGTTGTCTTGATACACCTTGATGTACGGCTCCATAGCCTGCACCAGCCGGGTATGGAAGACTTCATAGCGGTCATTGTTATTGTCGCGGGAAAGGAAGGACTTCATTTTCTCTGCACACTCCATGGCACCCTTAATATCACTATGACTTAAACTGTGTTCTTCGGAGAATGACGCACCTTCTTCTTCCTCTTCACTGACATGATCTTCTTCCAACATCTCGTCGGCAGTCACTTCAGGATCTCTGATCACCTCCAGGATGTCTTCGTTGGTGGTCTCGGAGAAGCCTTCAGCTGTAATATTGAGCGCAGCTTCTCTGGCAAGATCCACTGCTTCTGCAACAGTCTGAACCTCACCAGTCACAGGTTCACTCCTCTTCTCAGCTGGTATGCCATGCAACACATCTCCATGCGTGACGAATCGTAGCAAGAGACAGCTGATCCCATGCCTCTACCAAGAAGTCTACAGCTTGTTTGACGTTAAACTTCTTCCAAAACTGTTTGACGAGAACTTCTTGAGTCGCCACCTCTTGTTCCTTGTCCTCGTCGCTTTTACTCTCGCTGTCGGTGTCACCCAGCTTACGCAACTCATCCTTGGTGTTGGTAGAGTCGTTCAGGAGCTTGAATTTCTTTGCCGAGTATGCAGCTTTAACATTGCAGATTAACTCCTGGTCCATGGGCTGGATTAATGACGTAGTGTTGGGAGGAAGGAAGACAACTTTTACGTTGGGGTGACGATCCATAAGTAGGGGCGAGTGTCCTGGTGCGTTGTCAAGGAGCAACAAAATGTTGAATGGAACATTCTGTTGCTCGCAGAATTTCTTGACGTCTGGAACGAAACAGTAGTCAAACCAGGAGAGGGACAGAGCAGAGAACATCCACGCCTTATGTGCGGTTAGCCAGTGGACATTAAGCTTGTTCATGTCCATATTCTTGTAGGTGTGCGGCTTGCGGGCTGTGTGAATCACCGATAACTTTGGTTTACAGGTACCGGAGGCATTGGTTGTAAAGAGGACGGTGATGCGCTCCTTCTGCAACTTCCGACCCCGAACCTTGCTGGCAGACTGGACAACGAAGGTCTTGGTAGGCAGCTTTTTCCAAAAATGGCCGAATTTGTCAATGTTGAACACCTGGTCGTCAGTGAACTGCCCTTCCTTCATAACCTCACGTAAGAATGGAGGAAAATCTCTAGCCACCACACGGTCAGCACTCGCTTCTTCACCACCAATGTTGATGATTTTGTTCCTCATCTTAAACCTATGCAGCCAACCAGAGGAAGCATTGAAGGGTTTGGGCTCTGCAATTCCAATCTTACGTGACACTGCTACGTACAGTTCACGTGCATACTCTTGAACGGATCGCGTGTCCACCGCCATGTTGCGTCGCGCCTGACGAATCAAGTAACTCACCAGCAAATTTTCCACCTTTAGCAGCACCTTGTTCTGGGAATACTTCATCATTGAAGCACCTGCAGACTTTGTGATTGTCATGTGCTCTTTGATCTTGGCTGCATCCTTCTTAATACAGGTTGTAACTCTCTAGTCCGGCAACCTCGGGACCTGACCGGTGCCGGACCATGGAAATTGCCGGACATGGAAATTCACCCTTTTCCTGGATAGATAGTGACTTGTGCTTATGCCTGGAAGCACTAGCACCACTTTCTCTGCAGCATGGTCTCTTTGAAGACATATTGAAGGGTTAAATGTCGTATAGTAGCTTCTCAAATTTCGTGAGTTTTTAATGCTTAACGTATTTTATTGGAACACACAAAAAATAAATAAATAAAAATTTTGACAGCGGAAACTTGAATTTCGACGGGTTAGAACGGCCCGCCAACGTGCAGACGACGTGCATAATCGTGTAAACAGAGTCATTTCTCTTATGTACAAAAGATTCATTATTGTTTATTACTGAATGTCTTTTTTATTGAATTAATGTTTATGTGTGCAAAATGAGCAATACAATTCATTAATAATACGTAGAATATTAAAACACACGAGGAAATGACACAGCATTGTATTCGTTGATTACAAAACCAGTGACTGACTGGTTCTACATATAAAACTGAAGAAAATAAGACCTTGGTTGTAGCTGTAGTAAAATTAATATGGTTGTTTTAAGTAATGTTATTTAATGTTAATAAATGGAACAATAGAAGTAGCTAACGATAATGGTAAAGAAAAAAGAGAGATCGCATATGTAAGTGCGCATGCGCACACATGAAAATATATCATCATTACTTTACATAAGAATATGAAAGCAACACTTATTTACTGTTCATATATATTTTAATTAATGTTTCTGAATTTGTTTTTATTCAATTAATGTTCGTGAGTGCAAAATTAACAATACAATTTATTAATAATACAGTGACCCCTCGTTTAACGAACACCTCGGTTAACGTAATTTCGATTAACGAACTGCCTTCCATAAGGATCTTCAATTCGGTTAACGAAAAAAAATTCGGTTAACGAAGTTCTTACGAACCGACCTCAACATGTTTTCGCTTGCACTGACTGGGCAACCAGCTTTAGTATCAGTCCGCCAATACATTAATCGGTTCTAGGGCTTAAATTCCTTATTATTTTAGTAAATATCAAGAAGTTTATACTGTTCAATAATTTTAAAAGTTTAATATTCAATTTTTTAGTCATTTTAACAATTATTGAACATAATTGAAGGTAAAGTGACTAGTTTAATGCGCGGCATCCAGCCTCTTAACACAGCAAACAGGAGTTAGTCTCTCTCTGTTTTCACTGGAGGTAACATCTTGCTTGAGACTCTTCAACTAAACGCTTTTTTTCTGTGTTTCCAAGCAAATTGTTGGTCATTTTGAAATATATTTTACATATTGACAATATATAATGCAGTGCCGTGTTGATATAAAGAAAATAATCTTGAAATACACCAAGAGAACTAAAATTGTATGGATGAAATGGTGCCATGGGGTGACTTCTCTTCTACCCCAATGCCTTTTCTTCTTCCTTCTCCTCCATCCCCATTCTAATTCCCATCATCATCATCATCCAGGAGCCTTCTACATACACACCTCAAAGTAAGTGAACTTTTCTACCATTTTTGTTGAATTTAGGAAATTTTCGGTGAGCTGGAACCAATTACCCAAAAACCCATTGAAACAATGGTTTCGGTTAAAGAACTTTTCGGTTAACGAACGACCTTCTGGAACGGATTGAGTTCGTTAATGGAGGGGTCACTGTACGTGGAATATTAGAGGAGACGAGACGGCTGCCGGCATTGTTTATGTTAAAGCTTACGAAACCAGTGACTGATTGGTTCTACATATAAAACTGAAGAAAATATGACCCTGAGTTTAGCTGTAGTAAAATTAATGTAAAAAAATGAATATGGTTGCTTGAAGTACCTGTAATGTTATTTTATGTTAATAAATGGAACAATATAAGTAGCTAACCATTAATGGTAAAAAAAAAAGTTAGACTGCTCGTATGTAAGTGCGCACATGTGAAAATATATCGTCATTACTCTACATAAGAATATGAAAGCAAGACTTATTTACTGCTCATATATATTGAAGGGTTAAATGTTGTACTCTGTATAGACAAGCAGAGAGAGAGCAGCCGAACTGCCGGATGTAAACAAACCTTAATTTCCCGCGGCTTTTTTTTTTAAGGGGATTAGCCCACCCGGGAATAGGTCACTGACCAACATTAGGGCCTGAGGGGCAAAAATTTAATACTCCTGTAATAATAATAATTCAGATAAGTAAAAAAAAAAAAAAAAAAAATCTGCCTATCTACCTATTGGACAAACTAAAATCGTTCCGGACCACAGAATGCCGGACTAGAGAGGTACAACCTGTAGTACGAATTGTAGATTCGTTCACGCCATGCTGGCGCGCGAGATCAGCTTGACGTGTTCCTTTCTCCAAATCTTGAACGATCTGGTATTTCACTTCGTAGCTTAAGGAACGTCATGTCTTCTTTGGCTTAGGGCCGCTGGGTCCAGGTAAGGAAAGGTTTCTCTCTGGTGGCGGTGGTGGTCCGGTGGAAGCCATTTCACAGAACAATGGATGCACGTATACACGGTGTAGCCTTGAGGGATGAAACTGCTGCGGCTAGGTCAAGCGTTGTCTTTCCTCCCTCCCTCCCCAGGTGGACACGTCATATTACTTTAAACCAATTACAGCTAGCAGCAGAGGGGGGTAGGGATGCATGGCCAATCGCAGTCCGATACGTCATATGACGTAAGTGATAACGCAACAGAGACATGCACTGCGCAACCTTACCGCGCGGCTTGCCCAGGCGGAGGCGGAGGAGGGAGCAGGCGGGTGGGGCGAATCTAAAAATAGCGTCTCGAGCCGGACACTCTGCGCGTATATGGGTAGATGAACTGCGTTAAGTGGAAGTTAGGTTCTGGCGAGGCACCGCGTATATGAGAAATCGCGTTAAGTGAAACCGCGTAAAGCGGGGTACAACTGTATATGCGTCCCGAACCATCAATGCTGCCGGACTATCGGGTCCCGGATTACCAGGGTCAAACCTGTAACTGATTAACTTACTTGTAGCTTCTGAAGAGCACTTTCCCTTCAACTGCTGTGAACTGGAGAGTATGTTCAAACCCTTGCAACCGTACTTGTGATGCTTCCACACCACGAAAGAAGTCTATTAACAAGTTTTTTAGTCTTCTGAACTCTGTCACATCTTCAAACTGAGCTCCCGAGAAGATGATGCAAGGTTTGGTGCCAGCAGAAATCTTTGTGTTTTTGAATTGTGAGAGCCCCTTGTAATTTTCTAACCCAAGTTCCACCATGTCCAACAGATGATGATCAAACATCCGACCTGGAAAAACAATATATTGTACAGTAAACCCCCTCAATAAGGGATATTCCCAATAATGGATGTCTATTTGTCCAGTATAACCAGGGTTAATATGATTTAAATCAAATGATTTAAACTGATTTAAGTCAAGAATGAAAAAATCATGATTAAAATTTTGTTATTTCCTTTGAGATTTTTTTTAGGTAATATAACTACAGTAGATATTATACAACAATTTGGGATGTAGTACCAGGGGTCCTTTTGTAGTGACATATGTCATTTCACATATATATGTTGCTAACAAATATAAGAAGATATTTTCATTGTATGTCATTGGTTTCACATATATGCCGTCTGCATCATCTAGTTTTATACCAAGTCTGAGTGCATAAATATGATGCATAAATATGGTTAAAAACATCTAATATAATGTTAATATAACTATAATAAGTAATAAAAGTGCCCTACAATAGGGTGTGACAGTTGCCCCAACTTTGTCCTAAAATGCTGTTCAAAATTTTGGTGTTGCATATTGACATAAAAAATACCCACGTGCAATTTTTTGAAGATTCATGCATATTTGAGTGAGCACCAGCAATTTGAAAAATAGCGATTTTGCTTATACGGCATACGCGCCTATATATGAGATTACACAACCATCATAACGGATATTAACACAAATCATTTGCCTGTCTTAATTAAAAGCTGTTATCACTAACACAAAAAAGTTAATAATTCTTATTCTCTCATGGTACATTAAGGGGTTTTATCATATATTCACAAGGTATTATTTCTCTACAGCAAGAAACCATGATTTCTGTTCAGAAACAGACGATCGTTTGCGCTGATTAAGAATGCGGAGTCTGTCATTTTCATCTACTTGAAGGACTTCTTGAAAGCGCTCCTCATCCCTGGCAACATTAAGAAAGTCATGGCAAAGTTTTACACCACGCTCTGCGCCGTACAATGAAAAAAAGAAATACTACTACCCCGCAATGCCTGGAGTGTTTGAGGAGCGCCAGCTGGAGATGGCTGACTTCTTCCGTGAATCTCTAGCCCAACCACTTACACGTGGCGATTACAAGGAGCTGGTAGAGCTTCGTCTGCTGCTTGAAACTAAAGGATCCGAGCCAGTGAACTTCACGATGGTCTACCCCGGCGCACTTCACAAAGGAAGGTGGATGGCTAAACTGCTCTGCACCCTCAAGATTGTTCTTTTGTCAGGCCAGATCAAAGAGCAGTTTCCCAAAGCCGAGGTTGTGACTAAAAGTCAAATCAGCAAGTTAGAACGGTTTGCTGTGTTCACAGTCGCTGTTTATGTCCCATGGTGGATTGTTTGCCCCGTTCCAGCAAGTGTGCCACTCAATGACTTGAATTTGGTCAAAACCTTGGCTGAATTTGCCCCATATGACGCCACAATAGTTGACAAAGCAAGTGTGGCACTTGGTAGACGCACTTGGTAGACACACTTGGTACCTAACTGAGGAATTGGCCCCACTGGCTTTGTTCTCGTCCCAAGTACAAGAAAGGACAAAAGAGGAGGTGAGGAAGGCCCTTCTTTGCCATGAAGGCACTGAATATACTAAGAGAGTGGGGCTCAATCATGGGGGCTATGGAAAGCCATATCTTCCCCCTATCCCAGAAAGTGGCACTGCCCTGGTGGACCTAATTGGGCCTGACTCAAGCCGGTTCTTCACCATTTTAAGCATGCCTTATCAGTTTCTCCACAGTCCAGCCAGTGAATGGGCGGATCATGACGACTGCCTGAACATGAAACGGGTTGTGGACAAGCTTCAGGTCGCCAATGAGGCTGCAGAGCGTGGTGTAAAACTTTGCCATGACTTTCTTAATGTTGCCAGGGATGAGGAGTGCTTTCAAGAAGTCCTTCAAGTAGTTGAAAATGACAGACTCCGCGTTCCTAATCAGCGCAAACGATCATCTGTTTCCGAACAGAAATCATGGTTTCTTGCTCTAGAGAAATAATACCTTGTGAATATATGATAAAACCCCTTAATGTACCATAAGAGAATAAGAATTATTAACATTTTTGTGTTAGTGATAACAGCTTTTAATTAAGACAGGCAAATGATTTGTGTTAATATTCCTTATGATGGTTGTGTAATCTCATATATATGTAATGGCCCCTGTCTCATCAACAGAAGTATTATATAAATGGGTTACTTACATCTGATTTTATATTCAGATCCACCACCTGTAACTTTCCACTAACTATGAGTAAGACATGAACTGATCACGTGAAGGGTAACTTTCCCAAGAGGGAGAAGCCCATATGTCAGCATCTATGTAAGCGTGCACCAGTGCGATGCCTTAGTCAGTCACTCACACCAAGTTTTATCGAACGGACGTTGATCCACATTTATTTTACATAAACGCCGTCCTCTTTCTCATTCACTCATAAATAGTGGAACTTAAGGTTGATATACACTCAGGAATTATAAACACAATACTATTATAATAAAACAAAAAACTTCAATTGGGTTTCGTTACCAAAAGCCCAAATATATTATATGTGTTACCAACCTGGTTAACTGGGGAATTAACCAACGTAACATATAGGTGGCAGCCAGGTGGTTAACGAATACGATTAGCCGGTAGACATACCAAGACGTCTGTGTTTTGTGAAAACAAAGAAACAAAAAACAGTGACGTGTTACATAATCCGAGTGTTAAAACTATATCCCGTATTGAGACGATAATTAGTGAGTGCTCCTCATCTCTGTCATCCAGCAGAGATGCAGAATTATTAATATATCATACAGCCTGTTTGGTGAAAATCCTGTTAATAACAAGTAAAGAAGCCCCAAGTCAGCATTCTACAGTACACTGTTGCAAATGGTTTCATAAACTTTACTAACAAGTGACATTTCACAAGTAGCTAGACGGTTGTGTGGTGTCGCGAGCGTTGATTGCAGTACGGTATATACTCGTCTATAACCCCCCTCGTTTATAGGTCGACCCTGATTTTTTGACCTAGAAATCGTTAATTTATGATATTCCTTGTTTATAGGTCGACCCAAGTTTTTGAGGGTAATGGAACAACAAAACCTTCAGTAAAAACGCTCTACGTCCTATAAACTGAGGCTCGTCGTGCCTGAAACACCAAGTGCCGAAGGCAAATTGTTTACCATTTATTATTACGACACTTTACACAGAAACACGGGTAGTTTCAACAAAAACATTGTATATTACCATTCAAGTATTTATTGTCAATTAGGAGGGAATATTATTGTAATACAATAGTTTTTTAACTAAACCAGTCGAAAAGCGATTACGGTAACATCTTTTGAATGAAAGAAAGCGAAAGTCATTGTTTTTGTCACGATTTTATCCCACTTTCCACTGTAATACGTACGTTCAGCAAAAATATTACATTTCCGTGAATGCATTATATCAAGCACAGTATGAATAGAATACCATTGTAATATAACAATATTTTGAGTCCTACTCTTTCCATTTACAGAGTACTGTACAAGCCCATAATAATGGCTCCTAAAGTAGATAAACTTCGTTGTGTGAAGAGAAAGAAGAACACGTTGAAATTGAGTGACAAACTTGAAATAATTAAGAAACTAGAACGTGGTGTGAGCAATACTGTTCTAATGGAAACATATGACATTGGAAAGTCTACAATTTATGATATAAAAAAGGCAAAGAATAAAATTCTAGAATTCACAGCTTTTTCATTAATTCAATAAAAAAGACATTCAGTAATAAACAATAATGAATCTTTTGTACATAAGAGAAATGACGCTGTTTACACGATTATGCACGTCGTCTGCACGTTGGCGGGCCGTTCAAACCCGTCGAAATTCAAGTTTCCGCCGTCAAAATTTTTATTTATTTATTTTTGTGTGTGTTCCAATAAAATACGTTAAGAATTAAAAACTTGCGAAATTTGAGAAGCTACTATACGACATTTAACCCTTCAATATGTCTTCAAAGAGACCATGATGCAGAGAAAGTGGTGCTAGTGCTTCCAGGCTTAAGCACAAGTCACTATCTATCCAGGAAAAGGGTGAATTTCCATGTTCCGGCACCGGTCAGGTCCCGAGGTTGCCAGACTAGAGAGGTACAACCTGTATAAAACTGAAGAAAATAAGACCCTGATTGTAGCTGTAGTAAAATTAATGTAAAATATTAATATGGTTGTTTGAAGTACCTGTAATGTTATTTAATGTTAATAAATGGAACAATATAAGTAGCTAACCGTTAATGGTAAAAACAAAACTGAGACTGCGCGTATGTAAGTGCGCACATGTGAAAACATATCGTCATTACTCTACACAAGAATATGAAAGCAACACTTATTTACTGCTCATATATATTGAAGGGTTAAATGTTGTACTCTGTATAGACAGGCAGAGAGAGAGAGAGAGTGCAGCCGAACTGCCGGATGTAAACAAACCTTAATTTCCTGCGGCTTTGTTGTTGTTCTTTTACGGGGATTAGCCCACCCGGGCATAGGTCACTGACCCACATTGGGGCCTGCGGGGCAAAAATTTAATACTCCTGTAATATTGATAATAATTCAGAAAAGTAAAAAAAAAGAAAAAAAAAAGCTGCCTATCTACCTATTGGACAAACTAAAATCGTTCCGGACCACAGGAGTTTCTGGACCACAGAATGCCGGACTAGAGAGGTACAACCTGTACCTGCAATTTTGAAGAGTACTCTCCATTACCAGAATGAGGAATTCACCAAAGCAACTGTCGAATTACTAGACGTGTACACGGGCACAGATGTTGTGTCTCCCGGAAACATGCAAGGTAAAAGGGTTGTCGTGTGAATCTACGTTGAGCACGATACGCCCAGGTGGTTTGACAGATGTACTGATTCTGAATAGAACAGGCGTTCAATGGATATTAAAGAAAGGATGTTATTTGTGTGATTTTCTAGTATATCACAGCAATGTCGAAGTACAACCTACAAAATTCCCAATTGGTAGTACAGGCGACCCTTGTTAATTCGGACTAATAGGGGGAGGAAGGGTGTCTGTTTTA